CAGGTGCCTTCCCCCGACGGGAAGCCAGCCCCTGGGGCGCTGCCCCGGGCAGTAGGAAGATTGTGGGGGCGGGAAGGGACTATTTATTGGTGCTCCTGTGATATCCAATTAAACATGGAGGGAAAACGGTGGTTGCTGCTGTGGTTTCCAGGATAGGCATCCGGGGCTCCTCGGCCCCTAGGCGGGAATCCTGAGTTTTGGCTACCTCTGAGAGCCAAGCGGCCCACAGCTGGTTCCCCCCTTTAGGAAGGGAGGCCTTCGACTCTGAGGTCATGGCTGGGAGAGGGGACGCATGCATCCTCACCCTTGGGCAATTTTGTTTTTTTAGTTTGTGGGCCAACCTGCTTCCATCCTTTTTGGCTTGACTGGGCTATTGGCAATTTCTAGGAACTCCTAGGCTCCTGCCCTCCAGGCCTTGGCACATGTTATTCCCTGTGCCCTTACCTTAACCAGCTAGGTCCTCATTCTTTAGGTCTTATTTGGGATGTCCCCTCCTTCAGGAAGCCCTTCCTGACTCCCCCGGTGGGGTCAGGCACCCCCCATTGAGCTCCCTTGTCCCGTCCCTGAACATCCTGGGTCATCATTGGTGGTGGATGTATGTCCTTATGGACTGGGAGCTCCGTGAGGGCAGAGCCAGGGCTGCCCTGGTCACTGCCATGTCCTCAGCACCATAAGGCACATTTCAGTCCATGAAACAAAAGCTTGCCTTTCACCTCTCAGTCCTGGTACATACTCTTCCATTTGCTAAGTCACCTTTCCCCACTCCACCCAACTCCTACTCATCATTTAGGTCATAGGTCAGATGTTTCTTTCCTTCTCCAGAAAGCCCTCTCTGATTGTCCTGGCTGAGTCACATGCTTCCTCTGGGCTTTCCACCCCAGCCCTGATCACTCTGCCTGTGCTTCCCCCATCACTGCTGATGAGGGTGTCTCCCATGCTGGATGGGAGCCCCAGGAGGCAGGGCGTGGGTCTGTTGCCTGCACTATTCAATTTTTGGCACACAGCAGAGGGCCGAGTGCAAACTAGGTGTTGAGGGAGTGTCTGATGGTTGAATCAATTGATGAGAGAGATGCTGAGGACTGGGGACAGTTGTGAACAAGGCAGACAGAACTCTTCATCCTTAAGGTCTCGCCCAAGGCGTCCCATCCTTCAAGAAGCTCTCCTGATCCCTAGTCTGGGTCATGTGTATTCTGAGTTCCACAGTCCCCTGGGTTCCCCCACTACAGCCCTGATCACTCTAGGCTGTCACTGTGGAGCCAGGTCTTTCCCCCCGTCAAACGTCTCTGGTCTCGTCGCCATCTCCTCAGGACCTGGGTGTCTTGTCCAGGATTCTTTGAGGATCCAGATATGGTGCTCCTGAGTCCTGGGAATGTAAACACTCCAATCCCCAGGCCCTCAGGGACCCCAGGTGTCCCTTGGCCTCCACTTCCAGGTGTGAGACATCTGGATTCTTGGATCAATTCATTGCCCAGCCCCTCTGCAAACTGGGCCCTTAGTGGGGCCAGCCTCACTGGCGTCACGGGCATGTGACCGGTGTAGTTGTCAGGTCTTTGTGCTCAGAAGAGCCCTCTTGGGTTCAACGCTCTGTGGTTGCTTTCTGGAAATTCTTAGTTTTGTATTTGCATTTGTTTTTGGTAAGTGAAGTCTGAAGGGATGTGAGCTGGGAGATTGGGGCCTTGGCTCACACAAGGTCCCACCACCTGCCACCTTCTACCTCTCCAGGACTGGTTCTGTCTGCCTTCTCCTCCCTGCCCCTGCCCTGTGACCACTGTCACCCTCCAGCCTGGCAGGGCCTGGGTGGCTACAAGAAGGTCAGGGTCAGACACTTGTGCCTCATGGCATCTCGGGGTGGGGCATGGCTATGGGGAGCTGGTGGAAGGGCACCCTAGCAACCAGATTGCTTTAGTTTTGGGCAGGGTCTCTAGACTCCTGTGGGGATCTGTGCTTGCACCGTGAGTAGCCCAAGGGAACGTGGGAGGCTGAGAGAGATGGTAGGAAAAAGGAAAAGAACATTTCCATTTTACTACCTTTAACGGCACTCTTTCCTGCCTTTTGAACCAGGTCCCCGTATTTTCATTTTGCACTGAGCCCTGCAAATTATGTAGCCAGCCCTGCCCCTGACCTCACCCCTTCTCTGACACATCCCAGACAGTGTGTCCCGGAGGGAGTGGGTCTGAGATCTGCTGGGAACATCACTGGGCTCAGAGACTGCCCTGCCCCTGGGGACAGGAAACCCACAGTGGATATGGCCCCAAGCTTGTCTGAGACCCTGGCATGACCTCCAGGGCTGGGGACCGCCTCTGCACTGACCCCTCTGTTCATCTGTCTGGGGAACCGTATTCTAAATCTCTCCACAGCGACCTCTGCGGAGAGGAGCTGGGAAGAGTCACAGAACCTGTGTGAGTAGAGGCCCCACATTCAAACCTCCCTCTGCTCTCTGGTCCTGGGCCAGGAGGGGGTCAGCGCCCAGAATCTGGGCAGGCCTGAGCAAGAGGAGACTCCCCACCCTGGCTCCCACTCCCTCCCAAGACGCTAGTTCTTCTGGTCTGGCCAGTTAGGGTTCCTCCCTGAAACTCTCCCACGGCTGGGGCCTGCAGGCCCTCCTGTTCCTGAGAACACTATAACAGTATTGTCACCCTGCCTCACTCTGTCCTGCAGGAGATAGGGTTTTCATACCCATTTGGCAAAGGAGGCAGCTGAAGTTCAGAGAGGGAGATTGAGTTGTTTGAGGTCACACAGCAAGAGGATGGCAGAGGCAGGATTAAAATTTCAGTCTGTCTGATTCCAGCCTTGATACTTTGCCCTGTCTCACTCCACCACGAAAGACTCTCCTTCCTTGATTATAAAACGGACACTTCAGAGACTCAGAGAGGCGAAGACACCTAAACAGGGTCACCCAGCAGACCATAAGTGGAGCTGGGATTTCAACCTGGGAGGCAGGGAGTCAGGAGCTAGTGCTGAATGACTTCACAGATAGTCATTCACTTTCTCTCTCTGAGCCTCAGCTCGATGCCAAGTCACCTCACCTATGTGACTGAGGTGCTAGTCATTGTTGGAAAGGGGGTGCCCAAAGGGGTCTGGGGAGCAGATAATATCTTTATGACACAGCTGCTATTTTTCCTGCCAGAGGTAAATTTTATCTACGAGCCAAGAGAAACAAAGCAAGGTTCAAGCTGTAACATATAATATACACTATAAATAATATAATGTAATGTACTATATAGTGTAAGCAGTGGCTAATATGAGCCAGGACCTGGGGATGCTTAGGCGTTTTGTGGTTTCCACAGTGTTCTTGTTTGTTTGTGCGTTCACACATGGAAACGCAGGGTCCTGATTGTGTCCCGCTCTGGCACAGTCACAGTGTGGCCTCATCTGATGCTGGTGTTCTGTGAGATTGTTTTGGTGTAACAGAACACCATGGCCTCACTGTGAGTGCCAGGCCAACTCCCCATCATCAGGGGCTGCTACTGCCCAGCCCCTCAATGGTCTCCTGGCCTTCTCTCTTGCCCCTTCTACAGTCTTTTCCTTTTTTTTTATTTTGGTGAGGAAGACTGGCCCTGAGCTAACATCTGTTGCCAGCCTCCAATCTTCCTCTTTTTGCTTGAGGAAGATTATCCCTGAGCTAACATCTGTGCCAATCTTCGTCCATTTTGTATATGTGGGGCCACCACAGCATGGCTTGATGAGCAGTGTGTAGGTCTGTGCCCAGGATCCAAACCCACGAACCCTGGGCCACTGATGCAGAGTACACAAACTTAACCATTCTGCCACCAGGCCAGCCCTCAGTTTTTTCCTTTTTTTACACAGAGGCCACAGTGACGTTTTTGCCTTTCTTTTTTTAAGTATAATGTACGTTGCATTGTATCTTGCGTGAAGTGCATAAGTGCATAAGTATACATTTCGATGATTCTTTACATATTTGTATACACATGTAACTAGTTACAATGTGTCATACTACACAATGTATTGTATTGTAATGCCCTACCCGAAGTAACTGCTATTCTGATCTCTATCACCACTGATTAGTTTGTCTGTTCTAGAACTTCATATAAATGGAGTCGCACAGTTTGTTTTATTTGTTTAAGGCTTCTTGAGCTCGACATAGGTTTGGGAGATTCCTCCATGTTGCTGCAGACACCAGCAGTTGGCGTGTTTTCATTGCTGTGTAGTATTCTCCGGGATTCGTGAACCACTCTTTCTTTCTCCATTCACTTCTTGATGGATATTTGCATTATTTCCCAGATGGATCGTTTAAAAAAGCGAATCTGATTGTGTCCCCCAGCTGATTTAGAGCTTCTCAAAGGTTTTCCACCTTTTTCAGAATTAATTCACATCTCCCTTCAGGGCCTGTAATGCCCTGAATGGTCTGGCCCCTGCCTGGCTCTTCTGCCTCAGTTTCCACCCTTGTCCCCTGGCCCTCTGAGCTCCAGGCACACCGCTCTCCCCTCTGACTTGGAATGGTCCATACTACTTCCCACCTCTAGGTCTTTGAGATCACAACTCGAGTTACATCCTCTGGGAAGCTTCACTGACCAGCCCCCACTTCTAGACTCTACACCTCCTTGTAGCCCCCCACACTTCTTCCTTCATTGTCCTCTTTGTAAATAACAATCTGTATGATTATTTGATTAACATCTGTCTCCCCCATCAGACTATGAACTCTGTGTGGTCAGGCACCCGTTCTGTCTTAATTTTCATCACCCAGGCCACAGCCCAGCATACTGCAGGTACTGATTAAGTATTTACTGAGCGATGAGTGTTGAGTAGACCCTCTGGGTGAGCCTCAGTACTCTCCCCTCTACCCCTCAAACACACAGACTTTCTCCTGGGAGCTGTCAGGGAACCTTGAATCCCGCCCTTTCGCTCCTTGGCAGCTGTGGGTGACACACCCAGGGGCGGGTGCCCCGCCCCATGGCGGACGCTGATTTAGCCCAGTTGGGCAAGGCCAGGGTTGCCTGGGGGAAGGTTACTCATCCTGGGCTCAGGTAAGAGGGCCCGGGTTGGGAGGCGGCACAACCAGGGGGGACGCCGAGGGAGCAGGACGAAGCCATGGACCCCGCCAGGAAAGCAGGTGCCTGGGCAGTGATCTGGACTATAGGCTGGCTGCTGCTGCTTCAAGAAGGTTGGTCTGCTGCCGGGAGGGGGCAGCGTGGGTAGATGGGGGCTCCAGGGAGGAGGCTCCCCCCACCCCCTCCTGAGGAGGCTGTGGGAAGGATCTCCATCATGAGCGTGGGGGGCTGTGGGAAAAGTTCTTCCATCCTGAGCAGATGGGGCTGTGGGAAGAATCCTCCATCCTAGGCAGAGGGGACTGTGGTAAGGATCCCCTGCCCTGATCAGAGGGGGCTGTGGGAAGAGATCCCTCACTGAGCCGACTTGACCGTGGGAAAAGTTCTCCCATGCTGAGAGAACTATGGGGCAGTACCCTCCCCCCCAGCCATGGTAGGAATTCCCCCAGGCTCCCTGGTAGGGATCCCTCACTGGGCATAAGGGGCTATGGGAAGGATGCTCTCACTGTAGACATACGGGGCTTGAAGGAAAGGCACACAGTGTATCCCATGGCCCCAGATTTGTGAGCAAGTTTTGCCTACTCCTATCCTGGAAAAGGAGTGTGCAATCGGGTTGTCTCGTCCCGGGGACAGAGGGCGTGGGAAGGACTATTTATCCTTTGACGGAGGAGGCTTCAGTAGGGATCGCTCATTTCTACTCGGCCCTGCACCCCCAGGAGCGCAGGCCCTGGAGTGCTACAGCTGCGTGCAGAAAGCAGATGACGGATGCTCACCGCACAAGATGAAGACAGTGAAGTGCCCGCGGGGCGTGGACGTCTGCACAGAGGCGGTGGGGGCGGTGGAGACCAGTGAGTGGGGGCCCCTGGTCCGTGCGTACCCATCCAAGCTCCTCCAGCCAGGCCCTGCCTCTTTATAGTCCCGCCCCTCTCTCTGAATTTGGCCACACCCCCTTCAATGCAGCCCCATTCCGCCCTTTCAGCCTGGCCTGGGCTCTTTAACACCACCACGCCATTAGGGCTTAGCGGGGTAAGCGGCTGCGAGTTGCGAACTGGGTGGGATGAACTAGGAGAGCCCGGCTCTGGGATCTCGTCCCCTTTGAGTACACTCCCTAGCCATTTCCGCTTCACCACTGACACTTCCCTACCCGCTTCTGTCCCTGCCAGAACTCTATCCTCCCCAACCCAGCCTCCTCTCTCCAATGGGGCCCTTGGTGATGGAGATCTTCTAGAGGTCTTCTCCTAAGTTCCCTAGGCTGAGGCTCCGCCCCTCTGGCCCGCCCTCTGTGGAGTCCCGCCCCTAGAGGCCCCCACCCCACTCTGATCCTGTGCCTTTTTTTTTTGTCTGTCTCAGTTCCTTTTGATGTTGCTTTTTGCGGTTCCGCCCCTTTATGGCCCGCCCCTTGATTCTGTCCAGCGTCTGTCAGCCTGGAAGCCCCTGGGACTCAGCCTTTGGAGGTCCCGCCCCGCCGTCTGTCGTTTCCTCTCCGATCTGCTCTTTATGAGCTCCCCGCCCTCCGACCCCGGCCGGTCCATCCTCGGGTACTGGTCTATTCGAGGCCGCGGCTCCTCTGACCCCGCCCCCTCCCCTCTCCGCAGTCCACGGGCAATTCTCGGTGGCAGTGCGGGGCTGCGGTTCGGGACTCCCCGGCAAGAATGACCGCGGACTGGACCTTCACGGGCTTCTGGCCTTCATCCAGCTGCAGCAATGCGCCCAGGACCGCTGCAACGCCAAGCTCAACCTTACCTCGCGAGCGCTCAACCCTGCAGGTCGGTGGGGGCGGGGCCTTAGGCCCAGGGGCGGAGCCACATGCGGCCGAGCAGCTGGAGGCGGGAGAACTTGTCAGGAAAGGGGTGGGGCCAAGAGGCAGTGGGCGGGGCTTCGCTGCTGTCGGCACCGTGAGGTTGGCCGCTGGGGGCGGGACTATGGCCAGTGGGCGGGGTCTATTGGTGGGCGGGGCTAGAGGCTGAGCTGAGCGTCCGTCGAGGGCAGAGACGTGGGCTGGAGGGACCGGGTGCGAGCTGTGCTTCCCGACTCCCCTCGACCCCTTCATTCCTCCCCGCTCTCCTCGCAGGCAATGAGAGTGCATACCAGCCCAACGGCGCCGAGTGCTACAGCTGCGTGGGGCTGAGCCGCGAGGCCTGCCAGGGTACGGCGCCGCCCGTCGTGAGCTGCTACAACGCCAGCGACCGCGTCTACAAGGGCTGTTTCGATGGCAATGTCACCTTGACGGCAGGTGAGCGAGCCCAGGAGCACGGGGCCTGCAGGAGTTGTAGTAGCCTTTCTGAGGCCTCATGGGCGGTAGGCAGCCCTTTACCCAAAGGGGTCCCCACCTCCAACGCATTCTGGGAACTGTAGGCCTAAGTTCTTGTCTTGTCCTAGAGCATCATGAGAAGTGCAGTCCTATCGCCACTATAGCATGGGGATGCGGATGCTTTTGATCTAGAGTGTTTTGGGGAAATACATTTCCATAGAGGCCTGCACAGAATGGGAGGATGTGCTATGGGAAATGTATTTAAGCCTCCCAGCGTCTGTCCAGGCACTGCGGGGAATCTAGTTCTGACGCCTTAAAACTCAAGGGGTTAGGGTTCCCACCTAACTACTTAGGAGAGACGTAGTTCAGCCTCCTGGCCTCTGCCTCAGGGAACCATGGGAGATGAAGTTCTTCAAACTCCATCCTCTGCCAGGTGTATTATGGGAGATGTAGTTCTGACTCTAAGATGAAATTTTGGCAGGAGTGGGGTGGGAGGGAGGAGCAGGGGAAAATGACGGGAGGGACGTAGGGGAAGTTTGTTCTGCTCTTTGGTCATGTGAGAGGTGTTGTATCCCAATCCAAACCTTTCTTCCAAGGCATTGTGGGACTTGTAGTTCAGCTTACACACTTTTCTTCTCAAAGTAGTATGGGAAATGTGGTCCACCTGTGCCGAAGACAGTGGGGACAGTGTTTCTCAAAGTGGAGGCCGAATTGAGACTTTTGGATTAATGGATGCAGAGCCCTTCTGTCCCCTGTTTTGGGGGTTCTTGCTATTGTCTCGCCCCTAAGTTTCATTCTGGCTGTGCCTACCCCCGTCCCTCCAACCACGGACCTACCTGTATCTTCCTCCTGCAGCTAATGTGACTGTGTCCTTGCCTGTCCGGGGCTGCGTCCAGGACGAGGACTGCACCCGGGATGGGGTGACAGGCCCGGGGTTCACGCTCAGCGGCTCCTGCTGCCGGGGGTCCCGCTGCAATTCGGACCTCCGCAACAAGACCTACTTCTCCCCTCAGTTCCCGCCGCTTGTCCTGCTGCCCCCTTCTAAGACCACCACTGTGGCCCCAACCACCTCTGTCACTGCTTCCACCCCAGCCCCAACCACCCGCACCTCTACCACCAAACACACGTCAGCCCCAGCCAGCCAGACTCCTCCACGGGAAGCAGAACCTGAGACCTCGGGGAAAGAGGAATCTAGCTTGCCTGGAGGTGCTACTGGCCACCAGGACCGTAGTAATAGGGAGCAGTACCCCGCAAAAGGTGGGGCCCATCATAATGGCTTTGCCACTGCCTGGGCCGGGTTGGCGGCTCTTCTGCTGGCTGTGGCCACTGGCACTCTGCTATGAGCTTCTCCACCTGGAAACCTCCTCTCTTCCCATTCCTTCCCTTTCCCACCACTGGACTGGGCTGGCCCAGCCCCTGTTCTTCCAATCTTACCCCCAGTATCCCCAGCTTCCGCTGCACTGGTTTGCGGCTTCGGGAAATAAAGTTACCGTTGTATATATCCTGCCAGGGTGTTCTAGCTTTTTGAAAGCAGCTGATGTATCCCCCTCATCTTTGTGTCTCCCTCGTCTCCTCATGGTGCCTAGGAGAGACAGCAGTCAGAGCTGTCACAGGGAAGGTGGGAGAGACACGATAAGCTTCCTATTCGCCTTCTCACAGCCAGCTTGGAATAAGGGGGGCGGGGCGCGATCCTAGTTCCCTCCTTTGATGGCTGCTGCCCCTGCCCCCATCTTTGTGGGAATCGATTTGGCGTCTGGCTTCCTTACTAGACTGTGAGCTCCTCATGGGCAGGGACCGTGTCTTGCCTCTGTGTGGTCAGTTTCTGGCACATAAAGGCCTCAATAAAAGTTTAATTACTTTGTATAGTGGTTTAAAGGAGTCATTTCTGCCACATTTCTTATAATAACCTCTTGAAGCTGAGCAAAGGCGGGCATGCCAAGACCTTTAACAGATGGAGAAGCTGAGATCCAGAGTCACAGCCCTGGAAAGAGCCGGAGTTGGCGGCTGGGGGTTTAGCCAGCCTGTGGGTGATCCCACTGGTGAGGGGGAGACTGGGTGAAACCATTAAGCAGTGTTGAGGGGTGAATGGGGCTTTTAGCAATGCTTGGGAGCAGAGGGAAGCTCTGTTTAATGGGTTCGTACACAGCTCCCAGGCCTCACCCATCCTGCCATCCGTCTGGTTTCTTAGGAATCATTCAGTGGACTCAGCCACTGCATCCCACTTGTCCAGAGGATTCCAGGGTGCCCCTGTCAGTCTTTGCTTCGTGTTGGGGACTTGGAGCCTGAGCCCCACCTCGATTTCCTCCAAACAGATGAAGGCCTAGGGGCCCCAGGGAGGAAAGCCTGGCTTGGGAACGAGAGAGGCTGGCAGGCGTCGGGACTGCTTGATGGAAGGGGATGAGGTGTGGGGAATAGTGAGATAATAATAGTAATATTGCCACTATGACTAGTAATAGGGAGTAGTTTGAGGTGATAATAACAAAACAATCGTAAATAATGATTAGAGTAACAAAATAGAGAATTACTAAGAGAATGAACAAACAGTACAAGGGGTAACATCAGTAATAGTAACTGTAGTTACAGGAATGTTAGTCATCAAACAGTCTTACCAGATGCCAGGCCTGTACTAAGGGTGTTTACATTCATCATCTCGTTTAATTTTCCATATAAATTCTCAGATGGGATGATTGGGGAAACTGAGGCTCAGAACGGTAAAATAACTTAACCCACAGCAAGTAATACATTTATTATGTGCCAGGTACTGTTTTAAGTGCTGTACTTGGATTAACATATTTAATCTACACAACCATCCTATGAGGTAAGTGTCATCTGCGTTTTATAAGATGAAGAAATCAGGCCCAGAGAGGTTGAGAAACTTGTCCCAGGTCACCCAGCTAATAAGTTGTGGAGCCCACTTTTGAACCCAGGCAGACGGGCTTTACGGAGCATAACCAAGCTGGTCATAACTTTTCCCTCAGCCTGACTAAACTTTAGACAGGCTTCTTCCTGCCTCAAACCCTCAAACCCCTGACCTCCCTCTCACCCCAGCCCTTCCAGAATCCAGATGGCCTAACTGCAGAGGCCCCAGACCTCCCTTTTCTTAGAGCATTTACTTTAGAAAACTTGTCCTCATAAATTCATTCTCTGCCCCTTTGAGATGCGTGTAAATCTCTTTAAAAGCCTCTTGCCAGTTTTACAAGCTAGGAAATGTCTTTCTCGAGGACCTGGGAACCATCTCTTGGAAATGTAAACATCAGCTGAGATAGGGCCTCTATCCCCCGGTTACTCTGGGAGGGTGAGAGCCTACCTTCAGTAGGTGCCTTTCTCCAAGTTGTAAAACCACTTCCCGTCTCGGAGATGCAGCAAGTTTTCTTCTCCTTTGGGCAAAGCCAATTAAAACACCGATGACCCACGATCTCCCCCTCTCCCCACCTGTTAAAACCCAACAGCACTTTGCTTCAGCGGAGTTCAGACTGAATTCTGGCCTCTCTCCCCTATTGCAACAGCCTTGAATAAAGTCTTTCTGGCCTGTTTAATGTTGTCCGGTGCAGTTTTTGCTTTGGCAGACATAAGCTGCTAACCAGTGTGTTACACAGTTTCAGACCTGAGCTTCGTAACTGAGAGCCTGTTTTTGCCACCTTGGTGGTGTAGGTCAGAGGACTCCTGGGTTTCTGAGGGTGTTGAGGCTGGAACTCCTCCTCTCATCACCTCTACTCTGGGGGGGCTTTTCCTATTCTTTGGAGAAAGTTCCAAGGTGGGGAAAAGACTCTAGGATCCCTTCTTTCATAGCTCAGCCTGGAGCTTCTGATGTGAAGGCTCTTCAGCTCTCCCGGTGTGTCCAGACCCCCACGTCCTGCTGAGGCTTGTGGCGATGTCACAGTCTCAGAGCTGAGGCAGGTGTTGAAGGAAATACTTTTAAAAGGTAAAATCATGGCTCTCACACAGATATAAAATGAACACGTGTCAAAGATTTTATTTAACTCATTCATGAGTGAGGGAACCAGTAAAATGTTATAACCACTTCAAAGCAGAAGTCAGAGAACACAAGCACATAGGCCATCAGGAATGCTGAAATAAATTTATAAGTGGAGGTCAAACTGGTCAATATCCACAGGGAAATAATCAACCGTATTCCGCCAGGCAGGAATCTTCTACATTGCTATCAGTTTAGGTTAGTATCATACTTTAAGACAGTGAAAGGTGGAGATAACCCAGGAGGGTGTCCTAGAAGGACACCAGGTAATCCTTTTTGCCCATGGCAAAGGCTTTCACCTCTAGAAGCTCCCTGTGTGGTGGGGGAGGCCCAGACACAGTCTGTCCTCATAGGGTGCCATAAGAGGTGGGGTAGGGAATTTTTTTTTTCTTGGTAAGGAAGATTAGCCCTGAGCCAACATCCATTGCCAGTCCTCCTCTTTTTGCTGAGGAAGATTGGCCCTGGGCTAACGTCTGTGCCCATCTTCCTCTACTTTATATGTGAGATGCCTGCCACAGCATGGCTTGGTAAGCAGTGCGTTGGTCTGCCATGGGATCCAAAACCATGAATCCCGGGCCGCCCAAGCGGAACGCGCGAACTTAACCACTAGCCACTGGGCGGGCCCCGGGGTAGGGCATTTTGCAAGTCCAGATGAGGGACAGAGGAAAAACCATGCCCTCCAGGTGCGGTTCCCATATTGATGGTGGCACCTCTCGCACCTCAACTGTGCGACCACCTAGCGTTGTCCATTTCAGAGACCGTATTATTTTCCTAGGGCTGCCGTAACGAAGTCCACAAACTGGTGGTTAAAACAACAGAAATTTATTGTCTCAGTTCTGGAGGCCGGAGGACCAAATTCGAGGTGTTGGTAGGGGCATACACCCTTCAAAGTCCCTGGAGAGGATCCTTCCTTGCCTCCTCCAGCTTCTGGTAGGCCCAGGCCTTCCTTGGCCTGTGGACAAATCACTCCAGTCTCTGCTCCTCTTTCACATTGCATTCTCCTGTCTGCGTCCAAATTTCCCCTTCTTATAAGGACACCAGTCATATTAGATAAAGGCCCACTCTAATGACCTCACCTTAACTTGATTAAATCTGCAAAGACCCTATTTCCAAATAAGGTCAAATTCACAAGTCCTGGGCATTAGGACTTCAATGTATCTTTTTTTGGGGGAATTAGTACCTCTCATAACAAGGACACAGTGTAGAATAGAGGTTCAGAGGCCAAACTTGTGTCAGACAACCCACGTTTCAATCCCAGCTCTGTTACTACTCTGTACCCAGTACCACTACTACAGTTTCACTCGGAGTCAAATTAAGCTGGGAAATTCTCTCTAAGCCTCAGTTTCCTCATCTCTTAAATGGGGATAATAATATTTCCTGCCTTTAGGACTCTTGTGAGACTTGAACTTGATAATGTGGGTCAACTACAGTGCCTGCTGTATGGTAAGAGCTTAGAATATAGGGAACGAGCAAGATGGTAAAGTTGATTCACAAGCATGTAGGCGAGATGGAAGTATATTTAGTCAGTGAAAGAAAGAATGCTGAAATCAGATTGCAAAGTGAGATTCAAAACTAGTTCTTGTGCCACAGGGCAATCAAATCTTAATGTCTGGGGTCGTATTTTCTGCTGGGCAGAAATCATTTCCATCAGAAATCATTTGTATCTTTACCAGACAGAAATCATTTGCGACTTATCAGTCTCCTATGAGTTAACGTTGTGGCGGACCAGAATTTGCCACCCTCAAATGTATCTCTTTGGGTTGATTATTTTTAAGGACAAAAGACTCTGAAAGAAACTTGGACCTTCCCCCTAACTGCCTAAAAGATTTTAAGATAGAGGGCCTGTTCCAAGAAGGAGCTAATACCACAAGATAACTATAGTATAATATAGACTAGGTGTGGTAGACAAGGAGATCCTTGCTAAGCCCATTTTTATCCAAGTTCTCTCTCGGGTCTCATTGTCTATAGATGGCTCAGCAAACATTTGTTTATCAAACATTTGCATTTCCATCTCCATATAAATTGCCTACCTCTCCTTTGAAGTCCCAAACCACTACCCCCAACATCCTCCTTTGTTTTCAGCTAAAGATGGTATTTAAGGTGGTGGCTTCAGCCATTTTGGTGAGTTACTTAGTTTTCCTGGGTTTCTCCCACGTATACATGTTATTAAACTTTGTTTGATTTTCTCCTGTTATTCTGTCTCATGTCAATTTAATTCTTAGGTCAGCCAGAAGGACCTAGAGGGTAGAGGAATTGTCTTCCTCCCCTACAATATCTAAACCTTATAGAGTCTGGGCCCTAATCAACAATAAATAGTCAGACAAACAAAGCTATATTCCCTGCAAGAATCAGATCATCCCTGAGTGAGTCTGTTAGACAGTAAGCCCGTAAGATATTCAAAGTACATGTGGTTCCCTGTTTGTCTTATTTCCAAGTTGACACTGGTGTTGCCCAACAGAATTATATTGTAGGACATGTATGTAATTTAAAATTTTCTAGAATCTGATACTAAACCTCTTATAATTTTT